ATCGTTAAACTTTTCATTTATTTTTTTGTCTTGTAAATTCTATTCGGTTAACTGTCTCTATTGAAATTGGGTTTCAATTGGTCTTGTTGATAAGCGAGTGGTTGTGTTGGATTCTAGTATTGAAAAGTAGAAAGACTGTGTGGCTGCTGTAATTTTAGACTTCTGTTCTCACCTACTTATGTATTTTTAACATATGCTGTGCGGTATGATCTCATAGAGAGCAGAAGACTTCAGTTTTGTTGAGCTTTTAATGCCGATGCTTTTCCACTATCTGATAGATCACCCTGTATTTCTAACGTTTAGTAACCAAAACCTTACTTTATACGAGTCATCGTGCGACGTTTAATCTGTTTTGACACGATTTTTGTTACTGTGCTCGTTTTCACCATTGTTTGCTCTTTTTTAATTTGATTTTTCTATTCTTTTTATCTTGCTTGTGTAGCGTAGTTTCGACATGTTGTGTTATTGAATTGTAAAATTCAATAATTGTGGCGATATTTATGTTCTTTGTCTTGTAGATACGATTATCCGGCAAAATCTACATTGAATTAGTTTTGCTAAGCGTGGCTTTTGATCCTGTAAACTTTAAGTAACAAGACTAAGGAATTTAAAAGATAATTTTTTGTTAAGATGAGAAAACGGAGTAGAACTTCGTCGATTTTGACATATACAACGAGTTATTCATTACCTACATTTGCTGTAGTTCTTTTTTAACGTTTCTGCCCGACTACATAAATCATTCTTTTTTTAAAAATAGCTTTTGCTTTCTAAGAATATTGTAAAAATTCTTCGGGAAGCATGTCTACCTAGGCAACACGATTTTCTGTGTACGAAAACGAGAAAGCAAACTCTGCTTACCTTAAATTAATCAGGTGGATCCGTAATATTTTTTGATTTCCAGGCACGACTTTAAGTTTTTTTAAACTAATAGATTATTTGTATGGAAGTGTAAAAATGGAAGCACTTGTGTCTGAATTACGCGATGAAGTTGAGCGGTATAAAAAAGAGTAAGCCTTTTTTCTTTCTCCTCAAGTATGTTACAGAAAATAGAGTTTTGTAGAAATATTTTTGGGGGATATTAGAATTCTTGTGACTGTCTTCTGTTAATTGAGGGTCGCGTTTTCTGAGGCTTCACAAGCCAGTAGCAGATGAGGGTACTTGCATAATTAAATCATTTATCGTCTTTGTAGACGATTTGGAATCTCAGTTAGTTAGAAATGACGAAGTTACTGACAGCTTTGATTTTTAGAGCTCGAGAAGCGAAAGCTGAATTGGAGGAATTTGTAACCTGTAGTCGCAATATGGAAGCAGAATTAGATAGCGAGTTATCTGCAGAAAAAACGAAAAATAGTAGGCTGGAAAAGCAACTTTCCAGTTTAATAGAACAGTTAGAGAAATGTAAAGTAGGTTTTATAGGACTTGCTGCACTTATATATATATATATATATATATATAT